TAACTATAATAACGTCTATAACGTAGATAACATCTCCTATGACGTAATTGTGATTGAATAGACTATATTAAAATAACTAATATAATTATAATACTAGTATATATATATATATATATATATATACACACTTATAAAATTACAACATTATAATTATAACTGCGCACTCAGTACACAGTTTCTCTCGCGCTACCACGGATGCGCTACGGTTACCGCGGCAACGCACCTTGATGACGGGCTGCAGGGATAACAGGTTGAACATCGTCGTCATGTCGATGAGGGCCTGCCGCACCTCCCGGTAGACGGAGCCGAGGAAGTTGAGCGGGATGGAGAGTTGGAATAGCAGACCGTTGACCATGACCAGGTCTCCTACGGTCATGCTCCCTGTCAACACACACACTCACACACAACACATGCCATNAGAATATGGAGTTGTGGAATAGCACAGCGTCCTGCAACAATCACACGTTTGTTGTTGTTGTCGTTGTTGTTGTTGTGTTGTTGTTGTTTTATATTATTGGGCGATGTTGACATACTGGAGGTTGTAGAATATGGAGTTGTGGAATAGCACAGCGTCCTGCAACAATCACACGTTTGTTGTTGTTGTTGTTGTTGTTGTTGTTATATTATTGGGCGATGTTGACATACTGGAGGTTGTAGAATATGGAGTTGTGGAATAGCACAGCGTCCTGCAACAATCACACGTTTGTTGTTGTTGTTGTTGTTGTTGTTGTTGTTGTTGTTGTTGTTGTTGTTGTTGTTATATTATTGGGCGATGTTGACATACTGGAGGTTGTAGAATATGGAGTTGTGGAATACGCCCCCCCCCACAACACACACGCATCGCACACACACACACACACGCACACACACAAACACACATGCCTCCCCCCCCCCCACACACACACACACGCGCGCGTACCTGCGGCACGACACCTATGGAGCGACGCAGACTGTCCAGCGTGACCGTGTTGATGTCCTGACCGTTGATCTTAATCGTCCCGGCCTGCGGCTCGAAGAATCGATACAGCAGTCGCACGATCGTTGACTTACTGCAGCGAACGCAAGAACAAGACGTTAGAGGGAGAAAGAGAGACAAAGGGAGGGAGG